TCCCCACTTTAAAGTAACGAATGGTGCCAGTGCACTGCCCTTTTTATCACTGAACAAAGGTCATACTGTAAAACACAATTGTTTAACTCTGTGTAATCGATAATTTCACTATAGAGATGTGAGATTTACTCAAAAGTCACTGATAACATTTTAGAACCACCTTGAACTAAAACAAGCCCTGTATGTGAAATCAAAATGAATATTACATGATGTAAGTCCCTAAAGCAATTATTCTGTAAATTATATTTGAACTGATGTAAGGGCAGTTGGGAAATACCCCCTGTGAGATAAATGAGTGAACAACTGAAACACCCACAAAGGAAAAAAAAAATGCAGTTTGTTGCTAACCATCTGATCCTGATTATGTTTGTTCAGCACTGTCAGAGGTGCTGAGATCATCCCCTCTTGCTTTCATTAACGTGTGCTACACTTTATTGCTGCACGGAATATGTTGGTAGTAACCAACAGTTTTTCTTTAAAGCAAGATGAGACTGGGTTTTTCCAGTGATGCAGCTGATCTCACAGTTTTCCTTGACTTTTCTATTGATGTATACAAGTTTAAAGAAGTATACAAGCCCAGGTTCAAATCCTTGACTCTAGTATGTTTTGATATTTCAAAAATTCAGACCATCCAATATGGCCGGGACGAAAAGCCATGGTCGCCTAGCAACCTGACTGGCACAACATTATTTAACATATCCCCCTTCTCAACTGTTATCTTTCTATTGACTTGTTTGTTTTACAGATACAATCATAAAGGTCTAACTTTTAAATAGTGATTTTAAGAGGTACTAGTTGGGAGATTTTGTTAGCTCTGGACCAAAGCAGGTTAGCTTTGTTTCAAGTATTTATGCTAAGCTAACTGCCTGCTGTGTTTACCTAACAGAAATTACAGTTGTACACATATTCTCATTTTACTCTTTCAGGAACAAAAAACTCAAGTGTATCTTTTAGAATGTTAAACCAAAGCTGTCATATTTGGAAATCATAACCACTCTTTGAGAAACACTGTCTTTTATTTATTCCATCATAGATATGCAGTGTCATTTATGACAGAGACTCCCCGCAAATTTTTCATAAAATGAAATAGTTATATGTGTGTCACTGCAACCCGTGCTGTAGCCATCATTCAGATGACTGTCAAGATTAAAGATTTATCTCGACAAACCTGTAAAACACATTCTGATTGCTGAACTCGTGCTGAAGTGTGTGGAAGGCCTATCCCTAATGTCTGTCTATCTATCTCTCTCACTCACTCTCTTTCATTTGTAAAGAAAACAACGTGATTGTGAAACCGGATTCACCTGGAAAACCTGAGGCATAACATTTACAGGACTTTTAGGCTTAGTGGTTACATTAATGTAAGTATTGTCATGCAAATATTCGTATATCTAAAGATATGATATACCTAAATATACTTGAGTGCCTTGTGCTAGTCTTATTCTATATAATACAACTAGCGAAGTAGAAGTGATAGAGGGTTTTCTTGGTCAGTGCACTTGTCACTCTGTGTGACCTCGTTCCCATTTGTGTGTGTGTGTCTGTCTGTGTTTTTAGCCCAAGGCTTTGATTTCCCGGCCGGGGTCGCAGTTCAGCCGATAACAAGGGTTACTTTGATCTCCGTTTTGTGGGTATTTGTTGTTGTTTTGAAGCTTTAACGAGTAAGATTGAATACATATGTTTTATTATTAGCAGTTATTTACTCTGTATAAATGAAGGTCATCTTTTTGGATGATCACATAACGGGTCTGTTATGGTTGTGGTGATAAATGTGATCTGTCATTTTTTTTTAAACAGCCATGTATTAAGTATAACGATTAAATAAACGTCTGTAGCACATCCACAGCGAACCTTAAAGTCCACATGCTTCCACTTTAAGTTACCAGAGTGTGGAAACGCTATCCTGTTGCTAATTTCAGAGTGATTTTAATTTAGCTTGATGGCAAACACAGCTGCTGATCATGCCCCTGGGCGCATGGCTTCAGGATTTAAAGCTACAGTATGAAACTTCTCGTCGGGAGTTGACAAACGGTTAGTAGTCCTGCCCTCCTGACCAATAATTGGACAGGTTCATGCCCGAACGTCATGTGTCAGTTTGTTTCCTCAAATGACATCAGCTGACATGACAGCTAACACCTGTCCAGCGGCATTACATTAGCTGAAGCAGCAGATGGTTTCACAGATGGCTCCTAAATAAAAACATCCGTGTTTTTAATTACGTCTTGTCAGCATATTTAGTTGTACTTGAGTTATAATTTCATTTCTCATTGCTCCTCCCTAATGTAGTTGTGGATACTTGCATGGGTTACAATTGCTAATATCTCTTTCATACTACACACAAGGGGGCATGTTGGTGCCTACCACAAATTGTGATTAAGGAATAAAGGCATGTACACACAGCTACACAAAAAGTTGGACTATTATTATTCCATATTTTTAGTTTTTAAATATTAAAATCCATACTTTACTGTTTCATATCCAGCAGATATAAACACAAGGACTAGGATATATTTTACTCTTTCATATCTCACATATTCTTTCTTGCCAACCTTGTATACATCTGGTTTGACCTGTTAGTCGACAGTGACACATCAGCTGAGATTCTTTCTGTTATGGATCTGTGTGGGCTCTCACCACAGTGAAGAACAGAATACTCAAAAAGTGTAATACACAGCAATGTAATGTAAAGAAAAAGTCATCTGAAATTATTGTTGATAACTAGCTGATGAACCCATGGCCTTCTGAAAAGCTTAGATAAAAAGATGAGCTAAGCTGCCCTGCAGACTTTTTCCTCAAAGATCAGAGGTGAAGAATTTCAGGTGTTGTGAGAAACTATAATGACCTTATCAGTGGGTCACATTCTTCAGATATCTACTTTTAGATCTGCAGTGTAGCTTCAGACAAGCTGCTCCCACAAGTTTCTGTTTCAGTAAGATAATGTGCAACTATTGCATTGGGACATTTTAATTGGTAAGAATGAATTTGAATACAAATGTTTTCGCAACCTATTTTCCCATCAAGTCGTTTTTTGTCATGTAAAATAAGGTATTTTTCATCAGCTCCATTACATGTATTAATAAAGCCCACTTTGTACATAATGTAGCCAACAGCTCTACTCCAAAATCATTTTTATTACTAGATGTTAATAAGGTTCTGGGAAAGGCTGAATCTTTTCACGTCTCCTATTACTTCTTTAGTGGTCCACAGAAATACCAGTTAAAGAAAAATGATACCTAGTGATCAATTCAGTTTTGTTTTGTTTATAAGTCCTGCCAGTAGTGTAGCGCCAGATTCAGTCGTAGAAAATGAGCTAAACTCAAACAGCCGCATCTCTAAATCTCATCAGCGTTTTAGCTATAAAACCAGTGCTTCTCCTAGAGGCTACTGCTCAGCTGCAAGAGCTTCAGAGGAAGTGGTATGTTGTAATGAGACTGTGAGCTCATGAATGGAGCACTTGTCTGTTTCATCCCTTTGGGTGAGGTTCTGTCTGTGTGAATGTAGCACTGAACCTTGAAGAGAGGCAGCAGACATTCAACACAGACACCTTAAAATATGTGTGGGGGCGGGGCACAAGAGTACTTTGACTGCATGATTTACCACGGATCAATGAGTTTGTATTTGTCTTTCTCTCCCTCATATAATTGTAGCTGGTCTGTCCTCTGTGGGTCGGCCCTGCATTCCTACGATGGCCCACTCTTTTTGGCAGCGGGTTGTGTGGGCTGTGGTCGCTCTAATTATGAGGTTTCAGGCACTAGTTTTTTCGGATTTATACATCCCTGGCCACGGTTTATATACACACAGAACCACACAATTAGTATGCATGCATGTTGTGGGTGGTTTTGTGAGTGTGTCAATTATGGATGTATTTCATGCAAGCAGAACAATTAATCTCTACCCAGTTCAGATGTGTATACATTCGATAGTTTTTTTTTCCTCTTCTTAGATATTGGCTAAAAGTCTCAGTTTGATATTAGTTAACCAGCTACTACAAAGGGGCTGCTCAGTTTCATAGGCATCGTTCCTTTTTCTCTTTTCCAAGAGTCTTGTATTTCCAATACTTCTGGACAATACCAAATATAAAAAAGAGTTTATAATAATTGTAGTCATAGACCTTGACAACAAGTTGTTGTTTAGGGCAGTATAAATGTTTGATTGTATAAAGTTTGTACTTGTTTCGTAGAATTGCAAACTCAAAACATATTGGTGCATACAAACCACTAATAACATTTTATGCAGTTATTGACAGTAGATGGTAGAGAGATAACTGGAAGCAATGGGAGAGAGGGAGGATGGGGTGCCACAACATTTCCCGGTCAAATATTAGTTTATGACAAAGGTTCAATATTCCTAATTATTATTGTCAGCCACCGGGTTCGACATGTTTTGAAGTAATTTAATCACATTATCTGTCACATCATGGAGAGCTGTCATTTTGATATATTTGATGGGTTGCATCAATCAAATAAAAGTTCTTCCTATTATCCAGAAAATGTAAATCTGTGATGATAGGTTAATGCGGGATATAGAGCTATTTCTCCAAAACACAACAACACTACTTAATCATTTAATTAAACCTCTGAAAGGTCATAGTCCAAACAAACTCATTTTAGGGAGTACCAAGCGCATAACACCTCCTACAAATCATATCTCATCTCAGGAAATGGGGCTGAATGTACTGTTTATATTTTTGTTCTTATTGCCCCAAATAGTTGGTAGTTTTTGTTATTTCAGTTGTTTCCGTCACAATGGCTCACACTCTGTGCTGTGATTCTGTTGAATAGTTATAGATAAGAAAGCTGATGTGATGAAAGAAGATAAATGAGAAAAAAATAATAGTCTCATGTGTGTTTTTTTTTTTTCATGTTTCCTCTTGAAACTTTTTTCTCTGTTTTGAAAGAGAGTTCAAACATTTATTGTGAATTTATCATACAATGGAAATAATTTGTGAATATTGATTAACCTGTGCTCTATCTTTTTCCGTCTGACTTTTTTCTCTCAGGGCCTACAAGTGGATAACTATGCCAGAGATACAGAACCAACCAGGTCTAGTGCACAAAGGCACACACATGGCCCCGTGAGCTGCGACTGTGAACCGCGCTATCAAGGAAATTCCTCGATCCCCCAGGGTTACCTCCGAGGGTTCTCTATCTGCCGGTTTGTACAGCTGCCCAAGCTTCTGTTTCTACAGAAAACACACACAAAGCAAACTCTGTACGGACAGGGTCTTAGTCACTCAGGAGATCAATGCGAGCTGAAGTTATCATGCCACAGCCAGCAGGCCTTTGACCATGATAACACAATGAAATCATAAAAGAACCGAAGAAGAAGAAGCTTGTTGAGTAGCATGACCTGATGTGGATATCTCTCATTAGCTTAGTAAGTATTTTGGACAGAACTAGAAGATGGTGGTAATATGTAATCAATCATTTTGTGAAGCCGCAGCAGAGAAATGTGCTTTAACCTGTTAAGCCCTGAGCCTGTTTTTTAGGTCTCAGGCTCGAAAATGACATTCCCAGAACAATTGACTATATCTTCACTTCTAAAGGGGTACATTAATAATCTTGTTTCTCAAAGCAACGATAAACCTGTGAGTTGGATGAAGAACAGTCAGAATCAATATAGAATTTTTTTATTTTAAAGTAAATTCAGATTGATCATAGTTTCCCTGTATCAAGATTGATGCAAAAATAAGTGACATTTGACATTTTTAGAGAGATTTAGAAAAGAAAACCCACTTCTGGGGTCATTTGGGTGCATTTTCCATATGTCTGGCCCCCCTCGGTCGATTTTGATGATTGACACCTCTTTTGAACCGTTAGAGCCAATAGAATTGAGGGGAAGTTCTTACCCATTACCGTAGCCAGAATGCCCAAAACCGGAAGCTGGTAGCAGCTAATATGAAATCGACATAAGAAATTGAATGATGGATTATCAGTAATCATTTCAAAGTGACAGACACATTGGATTAACCTTCAGCAACGTTCTTATCGTTTTAATGCCATTGAACACAACTTTTGAGCGTTACCGTTACCAGGGGCATGGGGTTAATTGGTTAATGCCCCCGAGATGAAACACTGTTGACATTTTTGAATAGTGAGCCAACTCTCCATTCAGGGAAAACTCACTATCATTAGTCATCTAGACCCTTTGAGTTATAAACGTGCAATCTTTCACAATGTATGGGTTTTGAAGTCTGCAAATAAAATTTCCTCTACAAATGTAATTTCTTCTATCTGCTGTAACGACCCACTAATTGAGATGTTGGCGTTGCTTCCAAAATGTTTCAATTAAGAGAGTCTGAGAGAAATGTATTGTTTGTGATTGTTAATGCTATAATGTTAAATTCCTCTTGCTCAACTGCAATTAACAGCAACGTGTTACTTATTTCCAGAGCTGCAGCAAAACAAAGAATAAGGTAGGACTCTGCAGCGAGACGCGATGGCTACCGAAGAAAATCAAACCCAGGTTGGGTCTGTAGTCCTGGCTCAGCATGCTTCACCTCCATCCTCTGGCAGCAGGCCGAACAGAGAAACCAGACATGACAGCCAGGAATCATGGCAATACTCTGACCAATCGTGGAATTCAAAACAGCGAAGCAGCCCTTCCCTCCTCTTTTATCGGAAGTTGTCGTGTGACAGTGAGAAAGGGCCAATTTTGGACAAGGAATACGACTGTCTGGACTACAGCTCAAATCTCCAGCCGTCAGCTGGCAAGGAGGCAACTAACACGGTTACTCCGATACCTGAGAAAAGTTCAGAGGGATCTCCGTGCCGGCTGGACACCTCTGGAGAGGGTGTGGATGCAGGCAGGAACAGAACTGGCAGAACCCCCTGCTCCTGCCCCCTGTCTAGCCTCCACACAGGTCCAAACATCTATTGTTGCCACAGCCCCAGATCCAGTCCGAACCCCAGCTCCAGCTGCAGCCCCGTTCAGAGCCCTCAACGCTGCCACAGCCCTTCGCAGCACCACCGGAGACACGTCCGCCGCAGCAGCCTGCCGGTGTCTATGCTGGCATTCAACAAGGTAATAATGAAGGCAGCCGCTAGTCCTGGTAAACTGCAAATTGTATGTATACACTTAGCTGCTGCAATAAGACTGTTATGTGTCATATTTGCTTAAAAAAAAAGCTTGGACTGTACAATATTGGAAAAAGTTTTACACTGCCCATTCTTTGGGAATATAGAATATATTGCAATAAGAAAATAGGAATAATAATCTACATTTTTATTTATTTTTTTATTTTTTATTTTTTCACAGACATAATATAAATAGGACATACATGGAGATGCTTACATAACTGCACCTGTTGTACATCAGGGTTAATCATTCATGCCCTCCTTGGACACCAAAAGGACATACAATTCTTGATGCTATCGATTTTTATATTGTGCAAACATTATCAACATATTACAGACATTATCACTCCCACTCATCAACAAAATGATCTCACACTACCTGAGTAATCTACATTTTTAAGGATGCATTTTAAAGTTTTTAATACTGAAATCTAGTCCACTTTGAGAATCGTGCTGGTTTTGCTTTTCTATCTAGCATAAAAAAGGCTTAGTTATTTTGACAAACATTGCATGTCCTGCTTTATCGCAATGTTTCGCAGAGATTTTTAAATGTTTTGACTTATCACAATGTAAATGTGTTAATTAAATGATTTACCTCATTAGATAGACCATTCAAGCTAATGCTAATTTAGCTTAAAGGAGACATGTCATGGCCATTTCCACTGATCATAATTCCATTGTTGAGGTCTACTAGAATAGATTTATATTGTGCAATTTTCCAAACTCACTTGTTTCTCAAACAGCATCTCTGAAAACTACGTGTATTCACTGAATTTCACTCTCTGCCTTTAACGGCTCGTTGTAGCTCCAATAAATCCAGCCCCCACCCTCCCTGTGAGCACAGGACATTGTGAATCGCGCTGAGCTCCGTGGAGGTGTTGTTTCCTTGTTTAGCGAAACACAGCCAAACTCATCCTGAGCAAACACAAACTCACAGCCGAAGTAAAAACAATAAGTGTGGCTTGATATTGAGTAAGAAAAAGGTTGATAAACGCTGTGAGAATGGGTCTGCAGAGAGAATTTCACCGCGATCCCAACTGTCTGTTATCAGCCTGCAGCCAGGGAGGAGAAATCAGCAGAGCTGCGTGCACTGAGTGTGTGTGTGAGGAAGTCAGTGGATTGGTCAATTTGGACCAATCAGCGGGGGCTTAACGTAACGGCTCCGCGGACGTAACGTAACGGCTCCACGGATTGGTCCATTTCGTTCCGGGTACGGGTTGACATCATGCCGTACCCGGAAGAATCTAATGGACAATGACGTATCTCCAACGAGGCGTTTTGGGGAGGTATTTTCTGTGTTAGAGTTTGGCTCGCTACAGGGTGTACTTTGAGGGTTTTTGACTCTGCAGACCGTTTACATGCATAAAAACCTTCATAACACACAAGGGGATGGGTAAAAGCATGACATGTCTCCTTTAACTAAAAAAATGTCAATTAATTTACCATGTTTCTGCTTCCAGATGTCACCCTACCTCTCAACCTGGTGCACTCCCTCAAGTGAACCCAGCTCTTTAGCGTCCTCACCTTGTAATTCCCCCCTCCCCAAACACCGGCAGCATCATCAGAATGGACATACCCACCAGCACCGGCTCAAAGATGGCTACTCCAGTTTAGAGAGGCTCAACAGAAAGCCCAGGGTGGACAAATACTCCCTGGAGAAACTATTTCTAAGACGAGCATCTCTAGAAGCTACAAGGACGACCTTGAGGAACAACGAAAGGTCACCCTCAGGAGTGAACAGAGACTGCAGCGGGGGCAGCAGCAGCAGCAGTGAGGAGGAGGAGGAGGAGGATGAAGAAGAGGGTCATTTAGATAACTCAGAGTTTATCAGGAACCGTAAAGAGCGTTCCACTGTCCTAGTGAGGCGCTTCTGCAAGAATAATATGAAGGTATTTACACACAACATTATTTTTTCTATAGACTAATACCTTGTCTCCCCCTTGACAAAGATTTGAGGCATTTTGAAATACTTTACCTTCCATATACTAATAATACAACATAAAACTATTCTTTCCATAAGGTGACCAAGTCAGTGTGTACTGGAACCAGAGCCATCGTCAGGACGCTGCCATCAGGACGCATCTCAGAGGAGGTCTGGGACGTGGTTTTTACTCACCGGATATGGAAACCCAGCAAGAAGGATTTGTGGCCAATCTTAACTCGTGGTATGGAAGAAGAGTTCAGAGTCTGCAGGGAGATACTACGTTTTGTTGGAGTTAAGCTACGACAGGTAAGAAAATGAAAAACACATTTTGTAAGATGTTTTTAATACAGATGTAGAATAGAGTGAGGCAGGAATGAGTCCTAAACCCAGGAATTAGTTTTCGCATCTTCTGGGTTCCCTTAAGTCTCAAAGTCAGTGATTAATGAGTTTTTTGGTTAGAGGCCTGACATAAGGTCTGTGATTAATATATATATTGGCAAGAAAATCTACAAGAGATTGTGCATTGCAATCAGAGAGATACAGTATGTCCACGTTTTTGAGCAAGTCCACGAATCCAGTCTTTGTCAAGTCTGTCACCACCTTCGCGCAGCTGCTGGCGCCACTTCGTCCGGTCCTCCGCCAGCCTCTCCCAGTTGTCCGTCGCAATGTCCAGAGCCTTCATGTCACGTTTTACGACATCCTTGAAGTGCAGCAGTGGTCGTCCTCTGCCTCTGGAACCAGCGCTCAGCTCGCTGTATACGATGTCCTTTGGCGGGCCCTTTATTACGGTCTAGAGTTTGTCTTTGATTGGTAGGTGAGATTTTAACGTCCATGGTTGCTGCGACCACCCCATCCAAGCAATAGACGTGGCGGGTCAGAACTGGCCAGGGGCTGCCTGGCTTGAGGCGGGCGGTAGATGACCATTGGGGCACGATGACCCCTCCCACCGACGCAGAGGACCCGTGGCGCTCTGTCTTACGCCAATCTGACTGGAGTTTATAACCCGTAGACTGTCGCTCTGCCGTGCTGTTCCCCCGGCGCCTTTACGACACCGCGATGAAGTGTCCTCTCCATTGCACTTGCCCGGACGGGAATGAGGGCTCCAGCGTTGCCCAAGCTGCAGGAACCACACTTGGCCTCCGCTGGCAGGACTCCAAGGAAAGACAGAGGTCAATACGTTGGCCCCAGCATTGGCTGCAGGAGATGGCCGTTGGCTCACTAATTCTCATTCTGTGATTAATACAAGCCCAAAATATGTCACTAAATACCCCATTGGTGAATATCTTAAAAAAGGAGGTTGCTAACAAGTGACTAAATAAGACTACTAAACTTAATGGCGCAGAACAGGGGTCTGCCTTTAAGTTGCGGTGGTGACGGGAACTCATGCGACCATAATGTGATGTACTTCTATAAAAGTGGTTTTAATATGTGAGAATTATATTGCTGTACAAAAATTGTAAGTATCAGAAACGTGTGTTTGCCACAGTGCTTATTTGTTTTGCAATATTCCAAAATGCAAAGGAAAAATCCCATAGTTTTTGTCCATGGAGCCCCTGAAATGCTAACTTGCTGTTCACTGTACGACAATTAGTCATCAGTGCACCACTCTATAGAAGCATTCCATATTTCAAGGACTCAAAACAAGCTGTAAAAGTGTTCACAAAGGTAGATTAAGGACATCAATGCAGTGAAGTTCAGGCACTGGGTGGTTTATATTTCACACCCAGGCTACTGTTAACTCGCTCCATTAAAAACGAGAAACAATATATAATATATAGAAATGATGCGTGTGTTTATCAGCACAATTTAAACATGGTTTTCCACAATCACCCTAATCCAAGGGTTATTAAGGTTGCCTTTTTAAGAGTTTAGGAAATATGTTGGAGTGGGAGGCATTCAATCATGGCGGTTTCTCCTCCAGCTATAATGTGCTTTTTCTTTAAGAGCTTTAAATGATGGTGGATTTTCCACTGATGATAAGGCATTGGGTTTTAAAATGTGGTTTGCTGTTCCAGCTCTCTTTTCTCTGCCACAATAAAAAAAGTGCGGTACTTCTCTGTAGTGGCACAGAGTATTTATGACATGATTGATTCCTTCTCCAATGAAAGATGACTGTTGTTGGCTTTCTCTTTTCACTATTTGGGTTGAAACGTTATGGCTGTTATGCATGAGGGATGAATAATTTGTTCAAGGGATATGTTAATAGACCAACACACACATCCTCAAAAAATGCATACACACAGGCTCTTTGTTCGGAGAAGGCCCCTGCTGCGGAAAAATGATTTATTCTCTGTTAGTTCTGCTCCCTATATTACTGACAGGCTGAATGACTGAGCCTTCTGTGTGTGTGAGTGTGTTTAAATGGACTGAGCAGAGTTGGCATCTGCATTAAAGTTATGGCCATGGAAATTGGAGAGAAGGCACGACAGAGTGAGGGAGGAAAAGAGAGCGAGTGAGACAGAGAGGAGACCCAGGTCATTGCTCTATTATGATTGTTTCAAACATGAAAACCTCTCACAGGAGCTGTTCAGCTTCACCTTGGCAGACACAATTCAAAGAAAAATACAGCTATTTCTTATTTGTCTTGAGTCAGGCTTTTCAACCTGAGAGGTGCAAACATCATGATATTCTATAAAGACTTGGAATCACCAGCGTCACACAGGAAACTCTCCTGTTGTTTTTTGGTTATCTTCTCCCTCCTCTTCCTGTAAGCACTCTGAAGACTGAACCCTGCCTTGATGCATTCTAAACAGAATCACATAAGCGCAAATGTATTATATTGTTATGCCAAGTAGCCTATTTAATTTATTTTGAACTTGTGTGTAACCGTTGCCGCATTTCGGTAGTTTGAATTCCATTTCAACAGAGACATTTTGTTTTTTACGCTGGCACTTGACTGTGCATAATGTTCCACTTTTGTATGATGGTTTTCTGACATGTGTATGCATGTGGGTGCATAAATGCATGGATATGCAATTGTGTTTTTTATGGGTTCATGCATAGCCACAACAGAGCCGAGCATTGTCTAAAGTTTCTCGTGTGCGGACGGGGGCTTGTACACTCAAGCCATACAAGCACACACTCACACTCATGTATCCAGTGTAATTTCTGACTCCGCCAAAGTGTTTTTATGAGTCCTTTGTGGTCGTAGAAATACGGGCCAAGTTAAGTCCAGGCAGAGCTGCTTTAATAATGAGCCTATTGAAAATGGGGGAGTTGCCAGCACTTCCCTTGTCAAAACACCATCTGAGCTACTCTGGTTAGGGGTCACCAGAGAAAACTCTGAGAACACTGAGGGCAGTGAATAAGGAGAGTTGTAGCCGAGCTGTCACCAAAATCGTAAAATGTATGATAAAGTAGGAATGCCTGTGACAAACAAATGTGTATCGTGCAAGCATAAAGAAACACATTCCTTCTCTTTTCTGTACATTTTATTAGACGGCATGCAGCAGATGGAGAAGTACAATTGGAAAATGAAAGTATACGACATTTGAGTTAACATTCTTTAACACAGTGTGTTTCTTTTCATCCAAAACCCTCTGCTCACGCGATAATAAATAGGTAGGGATAATATGTGTGCAGTATTCAACACACAAACATTGCAAATTGGTAGGATAATAGCAGAAAACAAACCCCTATGTCTTTTATTTCTTTGCTCCGTCTTTCCTTTACACACACAAACACACCTTATGCTACACAGGCCCCCCCTATATGTGGTATGTTAGCCTGACTCTGCAGTAATCAGGTTGAGGAGTTTTCTGTAGGTATCCTGTTGCCCTGTGTGTTTATTGCTACAACTAATGAAGCGAGCTAAAGAACACAGGATTATATGAAGGAGGGATTGGAGCAGAGAAGCAGCAAGAGAGGGAGAGAGGGAAGGGTAACACACTTGGAGAGAAAAAGCGAGAAAATGAGATTTTAACAGTGGAAAAAGAAGAACATCTACCAAGTGAAGGGGGAATCTGGCGCGGACGATTTTAAAAGAAAATAGGAAGAGTGAGAGAATGGAAACAAAAAGGAGGTTTAGATCAAGACAAGCCATGACTTACGTTTTATATAGGTTTTCATAATGGAAAATGAACATGATGGAAAATAACACAAACAAAGCCTTCTTTGCATTCTTTCACGAGAGTTTCGTGAAAAGGCAAAATAAATAGTGAGTGTTCTTAATCAAATCTAACTGCTAATTCCCTCTGTGTGACTGTTGTAACACTAAGTGGCAGGGAAGTCAAACACAACATAGGGAAGTGTACGATGACTTTTTGCAGCTTTAATGCTCACACACACACACACACACACACACACACACACACACACACACACACACACACACACACACACACACACCGCACACACACACACACACACACACACACACACACACACACACACACACACACACACACACACACACACACACACACACACACACACAGACACACACACGCACACACACACACACATGCACACGCACACACCATCATCGGCGGCGGTCACTCGTAGTCGAGTATGACTGTCCTCCTTCTTGGTCCTTGTGGGTCTTCGGGTGGGCATAGAGGCCGATTCTGGACCTCGATTATTCTTGTGCAGTGTGGACAGGGGAATGTAGTGGTGGAGGGTTTGGGTTGGACCTGTTTGGTGGTTGCTCTCTCCTTCCTAAGTCTGCGCTTGTCTTGTGCAGCATGGCAGAGGTCATCATTATATAGTGCAGCACCCTCACGGACAAGGTTTCTCCAGGTCGCCCTGTCTGTTGCCATGTCTTCCCAAGCTTTTAGGTCTATGTGGCACTTCCTTAGGTTGGTTTTTATGTTATCTTTTGGGAGGCGAGAGTCAGGCATGCGGATAATATGGCCAGTCCATCTGAGCTGGTTTTGGGCAATGGTGGCAGTGATGGTGGGAATGTCAGCCTCCTCCAGGACGCTGGTGTTAGTGCGCCGATCCTCCCAGCTAATCCTAAGGATTTTTCGGAGGGATCTCTGATGGTATGCCTCAAGTGCCTTTAAGTGCCTGCTGTATGTGGTCCAGGCTTCTGATCCATACAGAAGAGTGGGGAGCACCACAGCTTTATAGACCAAGATTTTGGTCTTTGCTTGGAGGTCACGGTTCTCAAAGACTCTCTTCCTTAGCCTTGAGAAAGCCCCACTGGCACAGCTGAGGCGATGGTGTATTTCATCATCAATAACAGCTTTTGATGATAGGAGGCTGCCAAGGTATAGGAATTCACATTTTCCAGTATGATGTTGTCAATGGAGATGTTTGGGGGTAGGACAGGCGTACTGCTGTGTGGTGGTGGTTGGTGGAGGATTTGGGTCTTTTTTATGTTGATGGCTAGACCAAGCTGTTTGTATGCTTTCGTAAAGGCTGATAGGATACCCTGTAGGTCCTCTTCTGAGAGGGCTACAAGGGCGTTGTCGTCCGCATACTGCAGCTCCATGATCGATATGGTGGTGGTTTGACCTTTAGCCCTGAAACGGTTGATGTTGAGGAGTTGGCCGTCAGTTCTGTACATTATGTTGACTCCCTGGGGCAGATGCTTGCTTGTGAGATGTAGGATAGCAGCAACAAAGATGGAGAATAGTGTTGGAGCGATGACACATCCCTGTTTGACTCCTGTGTCGACCCGGAAGGGTTCAGTTTCGTCTCCACTGCCACTGAGTGCAGCAGACACACACACACACACACTCACACTCACACTCACACTCACACTCACACACACACAGATGCAGGCATAGACGACTATAGCAGTTTGGGCTGAGAGATGGATGCTTGTAAATATATCGTTTTCCCATTACCCAGGATGCAAGTTGTCTCTGGAGACGGGAAGACATTCTTCCGTCTTGGGTCATTCTGTGCTTTCCTGTTTCCCTCACTGTGTCTTGTCCTGTAATGGACTTAAAGTCAGAATGTTTCCAGATCAAATCCAGGAATATTTGTGATGGGAAAGTGAATAAAAATATCTCTTCCTGAAATGCTCCGTGGGGGTTGTAGTTGACTTGTCTCATGAGATTGTGATATACACAGGCTGTGTCTTGGGGATATTTTTTAAAGCGGTTGTACATTGTTGGCACTGTTGATTCAACTGGGAGAGTTTTATAGCCTTATGTCCTGTGGAGGTGTGCCAGTTTGTCACATAAATTACATTTAATGCTTTCATTGTTGAAGCAGTATTAGTAAGACCAACATTTAGCTTGTGATGGCATGGGAGGTCTTCAAATATCTATATCTGCCATTTTCTCTTTATGATGGGGACTTCTATGTATGTAGCCTGTTTTTCTTCCAGTAGGTAGTGCTCCATTTAAAAGAACAGGTAGCCAAAAATAATGTCTGTTAGGTTTGATTCACAAAAACAACAAACCTGACTTCATACGTAATTTCCTGTCTGGGTGAATTGATAAAGGAATAGAGAGAACACACATACACACACTCAGCTCTTGCTATTGGTGATACAAACAGACAGAATATGTATATTTATTTTAGTTTCAAGTAGCAGGAATAGCCTTTGGCTCTCTTTCTATTAAAAACGTTGCATATGGTGTATTCTATTATATCTCAGAATGCATTTTCTATCAGTCGATTTTAAAGGGGAATCATGGCTACTGAAGTGTTAAAGTTTGCTACATTTCGGCCTTCTTTATAGCGTAATAAAATATTTGGTTAATTCCTAAACCTCGTCTGTGATCATTTCTCCATATATAAATGAACCGAACGAGAAACAAAAAAAACCCATTACCTTAAAAAGTCTAATTTCAGTATAATGGCCATGTAGCCTCATGTAGATCATCGATGGTGGTTGGATTTGGTTCTAGGTTATTTCTGTTCAGCAAATATTAACTTGGCCTTCCCAAACAACTAGATGCAGCCTGGGACATGTAGGAAATGTTGTTAAACCAATTCTTGTTTGCATTCTTAAATGCTATTTTCCCTCCAGTCCTTCGCTGGTTAAATATCTAGGGCTGTAAAATGGAAATATGGTTTAAGACTGGTGGTTTATGAGCTCAGGTAATAACTCATGCAAACACATTTACATCTAGGTTACCAATTACTGCTCGTTTCAAAGGTAGCGTTCTCAGATAAAATGTCCAGCAAATATCCGGTTTTAAGGCGTTCATTCCTTGCTTTGTTATCATGATGTGCCATTTTGTTGATTGGCTTTCCAGTTTATTGCTTCAGTAAATATACCGGGTCATTTCTTTGTTATGGTCATCAGACAGTCGAAGCAAGTGTTTCATTAAGTGTATGTTTGCACTCAATAAAAACATATACTGCATGCGTGGGCCACAAACTAATTTCGCTTTTGGTACATCTCTTTTCAAAGCGTCTGAGAGGCATTGGCCTACAATGTGAGATGGTAATTAATGTGAACACACAGTGTTGAACCATGCTCCACTGATTAGGTTAGGGCCACTTGAAGGGTTGAAGTGAATGATTGCATTCACAATCACAGAGTTATCGGAAATCAACAAACAGCTTTAATCAGCTGGAGGTCCCTGTAAGCCTGGGAACACAGCTTCCTTTGCATTATAGGATTATATGAGACCCCACACATACTGTAATAAGTGTTATCACACCACTCTCATTTAGGAGGCTTTTAACCAGCTGCTTGCTGTGTGCACACTGTTGCGCACTAAAAACAGTTTGGATTAAAAAGATAAAAGTAAAATCATCTGGATGAAGCTGGGCTGTGAAAATTGGCTGAGCATGGCTTGTACATTTTTGCAAGGTGAATTGGAGTTGAACAACAATGAAGCTTGCCAGAGCAGTTCAGGACACCTGCAATCGCTTTGTGTTTGAGTAATCAGCAAGGCATGTATTTGTGTTTATAGTTCTGTCACACTATAAATCAAATTGCAACTTTAAATTGTTGTACTACAGGAGAATACCAGATTAAAATACCTTTATTATAAACATGATGTCTTTGTTTTCCCAGGAGGGGGATACCAAACAGAAACCCTTAGCATTCGGCAAATTGATGTTTTTAACATCAGTATTGACCCAGAATGTTACCACCATTGAATATAGTTTTTATTTTAGCCATGCACAAATCATTCAGGTAGGCATTCAGCTCAAAACCAAATATGATACTAGTCCGATAGATAAAGCACGCACACACACACACACACACACACACACACACACACACACACACACACACACACACACACACACACACACACACACACACACACACACACACACACACACCCTCCATGCATGTCACACTCATTTAACCTACCTGTCTGTCACTCTAATGTTCTCTCTCTGTGTGTTGTGCCACTACAAAGGAATGTGCCGAGCAGGCCACTTTCTCACCCAGCTGGGTGTTGCGGCTTAGCCTGCTTGAGATTAGTGTGTGTGTGTGTTTGTCTGTTGAAACGCTGTTTATTCAGATGTCTGCTTAAATAGAAAACGAGCAGGAAAGTAAATATCTCGCATTTCTTTTTAATGAGCACTTTTTTTCACGGTGACAGTAAATTGAACAAAGTGTCCTCTCTGCTCTTTAAACCTGGTGTGTTTAATTCCCAGCTCCATCGCTGTTTATTTGATTTCTTGAATCCGCTGCACAGGAGCTCATGTGGCTGCTGCTACCTATTGAAACACATTCCACCCATTTGTTTTTGTGGGGTGACAAAAGGGTGGTGTGTGTGTGTGTGTGTGTGTGTGTGTGTGTGTGTGTGTGTGTGTGTGTGTGTGTGTGTGTGTGTGTGTGTGTGTGTGTGTACTCAGGCCTCTCGCATCTCTGTGATATTGTGGGAAAATTGCGAAGCTCCACTAACTGGGAACTTGTCCCTACAGAGATCCAGAGGCGAGGTTGTTAAACTTTGGGTCAGTCAGGACACGAAACACAAACAGTGGAGAATGTTGACCCTGTGAGGTCAATGCACTTTACACACACATATATATATAAAACTTTTTATATTCTTTTATTTTTTAGATTACTATTACATACTGTGGCCTGTTCTCCCTTTTTGTTGATAATCTCTGATATGCATTATGATGTGAATTTTTATATCATAATGTGAAGTATACACAACATGACTTGCAGAAAACACGATAAATGTAAACAAGCATTTGAACTTACTGTCATGGTGACTAACTTTTGTTCTTTTGACCTCTCCCAGTCTCATCCCCCTCATGTGACATAGCACTCACAGCACCCTGACTACATGGATGCTATGTGTCACACTGTGTGCACTCCTCCCATGGAGTGTCACAGATAACAATGATAAACCCTCCTAGTGGGATTAATAAAAATGACATTTGGATGGAAATGGACCAGAAATGGACCCAGTAATTATTAAATTAAGAGCATGAGACGGTAATGGTTTATGCTCTTAATATTATATTTATTGCTGCACTCAAATAATAAATACTTTTTGTTTAAAAATAGCCTGTCACCTCCCCTTCCTTCTGTTTTGAGTTGAGTCATCAACAATAAATACTTAATTTTACAGGATACAGTAATAGGTCAATTCAAATCTGCTGTTTTTGTCACTCGAGTAGTTTTGAATAAGCGTTTTCAAGATTTTATTTCAACGTCAATGATGTAAATCTGGTCATTGAAAAGGAACAGTGAATTTCTATCAACATCCAAACAACAATGTGCATGTTCTCCTTCAGAGCTTATTTAAATGGGTATATGCAGTGGCAGACAAAGAGTGATCCTTTGCTGCCATCTAGTGGAGAAGAGAATATTTCATAATGCAGATGAACTTGGATTGCTAAACGTTTTTGGTATGTGAACACCTATGACTGCTGAGGTTTGAGTCATGATTTTTGTTTGATGAGAAATCACAAATTCTTGGCATGAACACTTTCTTGCTTATGTAGCAGACTGTGGTGTGTGTGTACTTGTGTTCAAGGGAATTGTGTTACCGTATGTCTGACGACGACTCATCATTCTGATGCTTTAGCTTTTTATGGTCCAGTTATCGTTATAAAAAGATTAGCATTCCTACACTTTATGTTGTTGTTTATAAAATGTCTTAATTGGAGTGGTTTGTTTTGTCTGACAAGAAAATCCATTGATCAGCAGTTAGGACAAAGACAAACCTCACATTGGACAGTTTTGATAAACAAATATATTGTCAATATTAAAATAGTTTCTATATATAGATTTTGGATGATAAAATACATTTAAAATTCATATTATTTATTTGATATTATATTATTTCAACTCAATTAATGGTAATTACAATAATCATTTCCTGAGCTCTAGTTATTTTCCTCGCCCTTTTTAGCGCTTGTTTTGGAAGTAAAAAGCGATAAATTGTCTTTTTGAAGTTTAAGGGGGAAAATGCATTAATCTAAATTCCAGCCTCAAAGATGAATAATAGTCCATATTTCGATTTGCCATAATTTTACTTGACATTATTCATTGTCTTTTACTTTTGAGTCATTGGTGTTCCGTTTATGCCTGACCACTAGAGGGCAGCACACTTTGATAATAGCAGGTAATTTGCTGTTTTCACAAATTATCCTTGCAAATATTGTGTTGAAGCTCTGCTGTGTAACAACTAACAAGCATATCAAATTCAGT